GTTTTGTTTATTTTCTTCTTTTTTAGTTTCTCTATCATTTTTTCATCTAAGTTTAATTAGCTGCTTCTCTGCGCGAGCCTTTTTTGTTTTGTTTTAATGTTTACTTTAAAGTTTTACTTAGAACTACATTTTTACGCTTTTGTCGTCGTGTTTGCTTTTTAAATTTAATGAGCTTGTTTCTTGACCTTTCACTACGATGATGTTGTTGTTGTTTTAACCATTATTTGCCTGCATTTTATTAGATCTCTCCCTCTTGATTCTCTTTTTATATGCATTTGTTTAATGTGTTTCTCTCTTTTCTCATTTCATTGTTTTTTGTTTCTTTTTTTTTTTTTTTTGTTTTGTTTTTTGGTTTTCTCAAAAAAGTTTCAAAAAAATATATATATTCATCATTTCCTTAAATTGGCTTAATTAAAAAATGTTTTTTTCTTCTTTATCTTCTCCTTCTCATATTTATTCTTTTCTATTTTCCATTTCACTTTGCCGCCGACTTAGCTAAGACTAAGTTGTTCTTGTTGCCCTCTGTTTAAAACACAATTCAATTCATTTATAATTGTTACTGGAAACTAGTTTGGAGTTAGTTCAATTAAGCTTATTCTCCTTAACATATATATAGCAAACATTTAACTATAAACAAAGTCCAGGGAGTAGGGTATATAACAAAATATATTTATGTGTGAAAAACAATGAAGCAAATGATGTCAAACATAAAACTTAAATGAAAAACAGTTAAATTTTTGTTTTTATTTATTTATTTTTATTTTATTTTATTTTTTTTTTTTTTGGTTTTTAAGTTTTTTATTCAAAGTTTTTTTGTTGCTGTTTAGATTTCAATTTTAAGCACTAGACATTTCGCTTTAAAAATTACTTTCAACACATTCTTCAAGTTCAAATTCAAATTCAATTTTCAATTTAATTTTTTCACTTTCACTCAAGTTGTGAGAGCAACAGGCAAATTTATAAATGATTTCTTCTTCTTCTCTTTCGTGTTGTTTTACGACAAATAATAAATTAACTACTTAAAATTAGTTAAAAAACTAAAGTAAAACGCATTAAATTAAAACAAAATACAGACGCAAAACAAACAAGTTTTTTTTTCATTAAGTTTGGTTTTTTTGTCAGAAATATAATAGAAAATTGTAATTAAAAAAAATATATGTGTATTTATAATAAACTTCTCTCTGCTGCTTGCCAATTAGACGATCGCTCTGTGAATCGATTCTATATGCAAAATTAAAACTAATCCGAACGTGACGATCCTTCGCTTTCCTCTCTAACTACACAAAAACTACAAATTTCTATTCCTCTCTTCTCTTTTCATTCGTCATCGTTCACGTCCTCTTCTTCTTCGTGCTAATCAACTAATTACTACCAATTAAAAATCATATTTCCTACATCAGCTACACTTCACTTCTGCTGCTGTCTCCTCGTTTTTTCTTTCCTTTTCTTCGTCTTCTTCTACTTCTTCTTGTTATCCTTAATCAACGCAACGCTCTTGCCAAATCTATACTTAGCTCAGCTAAACTTAAACTCTAGTGCTTTGATCTTAGTTACTAAGTTGTTGTTGCTGTTGTCTCTCCTACTAGTTCTACTCCTACTCCTACTCCTACTCTTAATCCTTAGCCACAATCGTCCTCCTTTATGTTTACTTCTTTCTTTTATAATCATCTACAACATGTGTTTTATGCTTTTGCGGGGAACTTTGTAGTCAGCCCCGTTAACTTGGCTTAAAAAGTACGGTTTTCTAAACTCTTGCAGCTAAGATTCTTCTCTCTTTACTTTCGTCTACTTCCATCCTTCCTGTTCTCACAATCTTCTATTCGTTTATAAATAACCTAAATTTTAATGTTTTTTTTATCTGCCTAAAAACAGCGCAAAAATGTTTGCAAAATTAAGAAAATTTTAAAAATAAATATTATAGAATCGAACGAAATAAAAAATTGCACTTTGTGTAGGAATACAGAAACTAATAGTAGGGGCTGTCGAAGGGCGGATGTGTGTGTGTTTGGGGGGTGTATGTTTGAGAGAAGACAAATGTGAGACATATGAAAAACTTAAATCCAAAACTCTTGACATTTTTCTTGTATTTGTGATTCTTGTTTACCCAGTTGCTGTTGGTTGGATTTCCCTATTTGCAGTGGCGTCTTGTTTTTTTTTTTTCATTTATTAAAATATTCAAAAAATTGCTTAGTTTGTGTTTTTGCCTTTGCTCTTGGAATGTCTATGCAAAATATTTCATTGCCCCATTTGCTTTCTTCTTTCCGTTGATCTTTACATTGCTTTACTTTGACGCTTGCCACTATAGTGTGTCAGTGTGTGTGTTTGTCTGTCTGTGTGATGTTTGTAGATCCTGCATTTTCATTTGAATTCAATTTGTTTTCTTTTATTGTTTCATTTTCCATTTTGGTATTCAGTCTAAAGCAAATTACATATTGTACAAATTAAATAGAAAGAGAGAGTATATAAATCATATCTATGATAGTTGTTGTTGTTGCTTTTTCTTTTTATATGATAGGAAAACATGCACTGCACTTTTTGTTTTGGTTTAGGCTTAGGAAGACTTTTGGCGTTGTGTTTTCATTTTGTATTTATATATATATAATTATATATAGATTGTTAGCATATAGGCAATCCATATAATGCCAAATCATATATGTAACATAGTTAACATACATACATATGAAAAATCAAAGACTTTGCTCAGGAATGTTTGTGTGTAATGTGTATATGTGTGTGCGTGAACAATGAAAAGTTAAATCCCTGCTGGAAACTTGCTGAATCTCAAACATTCTCTCTGCCTCTCTTTCAAGATTCTGACTAACTCCCTCCATGCAAATGCCTCTCTCTGAGATTCTCAAAGCTAGTCCAACTCGTTATTTATATATTTCATAAACTAAGAATTCATTCAGTTAAATCACAAATACAATGTGTATGTAAGTGTGGGCTGTATAAGTGTGAGTGTACGTGTTTTTGTCAGAAAAAAAAAAAATAAAAAAAAATACGCTAGGCTTCAATTTCAAACACTGTGCTGCCTGTCTGTCTATTGTGATCTTTCGATCTAACGATCTATCAACCCATCGACAATTTTTATGTTGATTCTTTTTTTAAGAGTTACACTTAGACTCTAAAGAAATAATCGCTGCTGCATTATCTTTTTTTTTCTATTTTTTCTTCTTATTGCTACTTTACTAAACATAGTTTTTTTTTGTTTTTTTAAACTCTTTTTTAACATTAAGTTGCTTTGTTTTTTTGCTTTCATTTCTGCTACTGCTGTCTGCCTTCAACATCTCTATGCTCTCGCCTGTTGTTCCGCCTGCATTCCATTTCATTTATAAGAAAAAAAAAAACAGATCGCTTCCTTTTCCACTGACAAATTCACTACGTTTTCCACGTGTCACAATGAAACTAAACTACATTGCTACATTTTCATATCCGTTTCTCCATTCGCCTTAAGTGTTTTGTTTATCTTGTTTTTCTTCTTGTTGTATATGCCTCATTTTTTGCCTTGCACTCTTCACTTTCCATTCCTATGCCAACATCCTAAACGTAATCTTCTTTACTCTTTGCTCTGCAGACAACAAAAAATACGCTATGCTATCTTCCATCTTCTGCTTCGTCTTGTTCTTCTTAATTCAAGTATATATCTTAGTTGTAGTTGCTAGAAAAAAACACACACAGTTAAACGTAAAAAACTGTAGACAGCTACAAAAAATTCATTAAATCGACTGATGAGCACAAAAATATGCTAAAAACTAGTACAAGATTTCTTATTATTTCTTTATCTTCATTTTGTTGTTATTATTATCATGTTGTTTTTCTTATTCACCTCCATGAATCATTCATCGTCATTCATCATCTTTTATCTTTCATTTGTTAGACTCTAAAAACTACTAAATTTGCTGCTTACTGCATTTTTGCTAGTACTTAAATCTAGTTCTTTTTTTTTTTTAAATTTTAGATTTATTTATTATTTTTCAACTTTCTGCTTCAATTTTTTGTTTTTTTGCAGTTATTCAAATTAACAAAATGTGTGAAACGTTTGCAATTAACATAAATGAGAATGTTTTTCCCATTTTCTTTTCTCTTTACAAAACGAAAAACAATTTCTACTCGCGCAAGCGAGAGAGAGAGAGAGTGGGAGAAAGAGAGAGACAGGGTAAAATTGCCGCTCTCTTAGCTTTGTGCTTCAAACACTTTAGACTCTTAAAAACTGCATTTAAAATCGAATCAAAGACAAATTAAAATAGCAAAATAAAAAAATCTTGGGAAAACCAAAATTTTCTTTTCTCTCATTTGTTAATTTCTCTTCAATTTCAGTTTCATAAACGACAATAAAAAATAAATGTATTCGCTTTTACTTGACTCAATAGTTTTGGTTTTTTTTTTTTTATGTTTTGTTGTCAAGCTTTTATTATTCATTTCATTTCCATTTTCATGTTCATTTTTTTTCTTGTTTTGTTTTTCGTTTAACATACATTGCACACATTTTTGGGTTCTTCGGTTTTCATTTACTTTGCTTTATTTCGTCACAAAGTTGTTTGCTTTTGTGGTTTCTCTGTATTTTAACATTTTTACATGCGATTCTTTTCCCTTTTGCTTTTCCTTATATAGACTTAACTAGAGTTTTGCGTTTTCTTTAAATTGTTTCATTTTTCCTTCTGTTGCTTGCAAATTGATGTTGCTTCAAATGTTTGGTTTATTTTTTATTTTTTATTTTTTATTTCATTTTTAATTTTCTCTCTTCGAGAAAATGTTGCCCCGTTCTGGTAAGTTTCTCCTGCTCTCTCTCTCTCTCTCTCCCTCAATGAAAATTGCGGCCCCTTTCCACTACTACTACTTGCCCGTTTTCTTGTTGCTGTTGTTTAAGCATACTATTTAGTGTATAACTAATTTCTATTATTTAAGTTTAGTCTTTGCTTTTCTTCACTTTTTACGCTCTCTTTTCCGCTCGCCTGCTTAACTCAATTGTGTATGTATTTTTCTTTCCTTTGTTGTTGCTGCTGCTTTTACTGCTCTTCATTTATCTTTTATACATAACTCTCTTAATTATCTTTCTCTATCTCTTCTTTATTTTTTTTTTTTTTTTAACATTATGTTTTGTTTTTCTTAGGGAACAGCATTTTCGACTGTTATCAAACTGCTTCCTCCATTCCGACGTGGCATCCTGTTATTCTCATACTCCTCTTCTCCTGTTGTTCTTGTTGATGTTGTAGATGTTGTTGTTTTATTGTTGTTATTCCAGCGCTTAAAGCTCCCAACGCTAACCCTCGATTGCGTCCATTACTTAGTACTCAAATTGGGTACTAAAATATTATATCTGAAATGATGGAAACCAATTAGTAAAACTGAATAACATAAATCTTAGGATTTGTTGTAGCTGGGAAAATCCACAAGGAACCAGGTCATATATATATAGGAAAAAGTTTCCTTTACATCCTTTTATATATATATAAGTTGGTTCATTGAGATTTTTTGGTTTATGTATGATATTTACCTAGTATGTATTACCAGTGTTTAGGCTGCTTAGTAACTATACTAAGTATGCCAGTAATTGTTGTAGTTGTAGTTGTAGTTGTAGTTATGAGATGGCAGGAATCGATTTGAAAATAAAAGAATTGCGTTTAGTAATGAGAGAGAGTTAAAACATTTCTAAAGTCAGGAACAAGAACAGATTTTGTAGGCAAACAGGCAAGCAACAACAAGCAGCACACAAAACGAATGAAAAGAAAGAAAAGGCGTGTATAAAAGGAAGAAGATGATAGTAAGGGAAGTAGGAAATCACCAATGATCGTGGAATTATGGGAGGCGAGTCAAAGTGAGAGTGAAAGTGAGCCAGGTGTAAGATTCGTGAGATGGTTAAACTTTAAGCACACAGCACATGCAAAACAGTGTTGGCAAACGTAAGCAAGCTACAGCGCTCAAAGTGGGTGGCACACACACAGTGAGAGCCCGCTATAAAGTCCAATGCAAAACAACAAAGCACAACTAAAGCAGATGAATGAAGAACAGCTCAGACAAAGAGATACAGAGAGAGAGAGAGAGAGAGAGAGTGGGAGACGGACTGGATTAGTCGCGGCTCAAGAAAGTAACAGACGGAAGAGATGTTCAAATAGAGACAGTGATGAATAGAGAGTAACAGAGAAACAGAGAGAGAGAGAGAGACAGAGAGACATCACTCACCTCGCGAAGACCTATTTGGGAGCGGCTTGATGTGGATACTGTGTGTATGCCTCGTCGGGTGATGCAGCTGTGCTAGCCTGTTCGGAATCTGTCATTGGCATTGTTGGTAAAATAGTTGGTGGTGGTGCATAATATGGATAAGTTGGACTAATATACTGTAACGATGGAGAAAAATTCTATAAAGGAACCGAAAAGAGAACGGAAAAAACAATGGAATAAAAGAACAGATATAGAATACAAATTATATATCAAACATCATTCGAATTTAATTGCAACGAAACTCTCTCACACCCACACACATACACACTGACGCAGAGAGACACACATTCACACATATTTATCAACAATGTTTTCAACTGAGCTACTCAATCGTCATATATGATAATACTCAAACATATATGCATATATGTATATATTCTTTGATAATTCTATGGTTAAAAGATATAAGACTCAGGTAAACTTGATGGCAAGCAAATTCGATAAGGTATTGAAGCAATGAAGAAAAGTAGACAGATATTAGAATCGATATCTTTCCCTTTTTGAAATTCTGAAAACCATATAGTTTGAATTATAATATATAACATGGCAACCAATAACTGACAGTGAATACCCCTAAGGCAACCATCAACATGGTATATCGATTATTCGATTGCTCTTTAACTCTGACAACCATATATGCAATATGTGTTTGAGTATTCTCTGAGTAGGTCTTATAAGATTGTAGTTGCTGTTCATTTGCTGACGCTCGTTGAGCACTTACAGAGTTTCCAATCTGGAGAGTGGCCAACTGCGGCATCATTGTTCCATATGGCACAGCCGTGTCGCCACTGACCATCATCGAAATGCCGCGTGCGGGCACCTGGTTGACCTCCTGCGGTTTGTACGAGGTGACGCCCAACTGGGGAGCGGCAGCCATTTGCATGTACTGCAGGGCAGAGGAGGAATACTGATAAATGTTGGGCATGTGTTGCAAGGTTGGTAGAATGCGCGCGTCACTCACCTGATCATCTACCTGAGTGATCGGCTGTGTCATCATATAGCCGGGTATCCATTGCGAGCCAGCGACCGGATAGCCACCCACCTGCGGTGCCCCGAAACGCGAATAGGGTACACCAATTGGTGTGCCCACATTGACGCTGACGCCGTTCTGTTGCATAGTCGGGTCATAGGCAACGGGTATGCCCTCGGCGGAGACATCGCGCCACGCGCGCGCATTCGGATCGGGCGTCTTGAAGAGATTCTTCTTTTTGGGACCGCCATCGGCGAATTTCACCAATAGGGGATCTTTGGCACCCGTTATTGTGTTACCGTTAAACATCTGTATAATTTGTTCGCACTTCTCGCGGCTCTCCATGCGTGCAAAGCCAACACCTGCAAAGGCAAAGACCAATAAGAAGAGATTATATTGAATCCAATTGGAATGTCAACTACACTTACCCTTTGAGTTCATCTGCTGATCACGCAATATTCTAGTGGAAACGACTTGACCGAATTTCGCTAGCATTGCCTCCAGATCGGTCTCTTTGAAGTGTGGTGGCAAATTTGCTATATACAAATTTGTGGGATCCTGTTCCTGTTGCTGTGTAGTTGTTGTACGCATAGGATAGCAGCGTGTTGTGTTGTTTGGTGTTGTTTGTGATGGTGTTGTTGTTGTTTTTATTGGAGGATCAATCGTATCAGTTTAGTTGGTTTTTTGTTTCGTTGTGTTTGAAAGTTTGCACACAATATATTTGAACATACACAAACAAAAGCAGTTTTAACAAAAGCGTATGTTGTATGTGTGTGAGCGAGAGTGTGTGTGTGTGTGTTTAATTAATGTGTGTTTGTGTTTGTTTGAATGAGCGACAAAGACGACGCGTTTTCAAAGAGAGAGAGACAGAGAGGAGGAAAGAAAATTTAAACGTAGAAATTTTGTCATTAGTAAAAATTTTAGTACATTTAGTTTTTTTTCTTTTTGCAAAATTCTGTTATTGGTAACTGGCTTTGTGTCTGTGAGTGTGTCTGTTGAGTGCGTGTTGGTGTGTGTGTGTCTGTTAAGTGTGCCTGACTTAATGTTGTATGTTGTCTGTGTGTGTGTGTGGGTCTGTAATGCCAAGACCTAATAGATTGCTTAATTAAATAAATACCTAGAGAAACACATAACGAATTCAAAGAGAATTCGCTAATAGACCTAGATCGGAACTATATACAAATTGCATGGGTACAGTTAGATGTTGGATGTATGTATGTATGCACGTGTATGTATGTACTGTATGTAAGATGACTGTATGTATGTAGAGTCGCCTTGTTATGCACTTAATTAAGTTAAATACCTGATCTCTTATATGTCTTAAAGTTTTCTTTTTTTTTTTTTTTGTTTACTTAGAATTTAGTTGTTCTTTGTTGTTTTCATTGATTTATATTTTATATAATATATA